ATGTCAGTTCGAAAAACAAAACATAGGAACAATAAAAACACTTACCACGTTCATGTAGTTTGTCTGATAGGTAGGATGGAATTGTTTCATCTTTTTGGATGTATTCATCGTCGACGACTTGGTAGAATTTCCACAATAGAGGGACGTCATTGTGATTCCTTTTAAAAAATAAAAATGTCCTTATCGTTTTACTAATAAAAGAAATAGTCCCACAGACAGGACGGAGTATTTGTAGTGGCGATTGTAGTAGTCTTAGCAATGACTATTTACTTTAAATTGGACGTACCACTTTGCAAATAAATTCAAAAAGTTGGCATTCTTAACTGATTTTTTAAAAATCTTTGAACCTCTCCGGAAAATAACGTACGTGTGTATATGTGTTTAAAAGTGTCCGTGTATGTCTTCACTGTGCGCGTGTGCTTGTTTTTGAGTCGACGAGAGAAAGAAAAGAAATTGTGCCGTTTGTTTTAGTAACATTAACCAATTTCAGGTCGACAAAGTATAGAAAAGGTTTTTTTTTATTATTATTCTAAAGTAAGGAAAATTTAATAAACTTATTCTGTGTTAAGAAATAAAAACTGAGAAATGATCTGAAAAGACATAATTATTTTAACTATCTCTTAAACTCGCATCACTGACTGACGCGAGTGCTTGTGAAATGAAAGTGCGAAATGATCGTTGAGTATTGCGTTTAATCTAGGAATCTGAGAGATGATCGGCTTTTGCTTTGTTATTTGTCCCCTGGAAATAACAACTCTCCATTTTTAGGGAGAGTAACTGAAAGACATGATATCCTTCAACTCTAGATAGGATCGCTTTTGGATAAAGGTGTGTTCTAACTTTTCTTACACTATTTTCTATTTGCAATAACAACAACAACAAAAAACAGTATTTGAAAAGAAAAATCGATAAATATCTTTATAAAATACCTGGAAACATTCACGTGTGTTTGTTTATTACAGAGACACGTTTCTTACCTTCTTTTAAGATCTGTCTCCGTACGTACGCAAATATTAATAAATCTGTTTTTTTTTTTTATTTTATTTCTTTTCTATTAAAAAAAAAAACAAAAAAAAACAGTTAACCCCCAAGTAAATCGATAATGCCCTCCAAGGCGTAAGGGGATTACTGGGAATGAAAGAGAATGGAAAAAATTTTAAAATAATCGGAAATCCAATCTTAAACAGGAAACAAGGGATACACCTCTACTCCTGTCCAAAAGACCAAGGGGGAGTGTGAACCGGGCGATATGCGTACCTATCTACTCCTATTGAGGAAAAATAAACAATAAATACTATTTCAGAGTTTTGGTGGAAACTTTAGAAGTATAGAGTTGAAGGAGCCAGAAATCCTAAACAGGAAACAAGGTATAAAGCTCTCCTCCTGTTCAAAAGACCAGAGAGGAGTGTGAACCGAACAATAGGCGAACCTGTCTAATCCTATGAAGTCTGTCTGTTGTTGTGTGTACGTGTAGAATTTTATGGAAATATTATCCGTAATAATAATGATAATAATGATAATAATAATAATGGTTCACGTGAAACTGTTCACCACTTAAACTGTCCTTACGCAAGGATATGAAATTTTCACAGTGTTTGCTTTTTGTGTGACTAAATTCAAAATACGAAATTCTAGGCGTTTGCACAGCGTTAATATAGTGTGTGTACTTACTACGAGCAAATAGCAACGGGGTACATTATCTTAATACAAGTGACTTAAACATTACTCACGTACATTTATTAACACATGCATTTGCAGGAAAAGAATAAACGAACGGAGTTTTAAACTGTACTTTCTGATGTTTATTTTATCTGCACACTAATCTACTAAACTAAACCGGCAATTACGACAAATGCACTTAAAGATAAGTTTAAAAAATAATTAAACCAAAGCCTTATGATTAAAATAATAGACTAAAAGATTTAAAAGTGTTTTTAAAATATTCGCTTTAATTTAAAACTAGTGTAAATTGTAAAAAGATACCAGTTTTAAGAACTGGATATAAAGATAACCGTATGTAATTATTTGTTATTGTAAAAGAGACTATAATTGTGGATAATATTTTTTGGTACAATAATAATTCTCTTAGTGTTTTTTTTCCCGATTTACATAGATTTATCTTTTTTTATAGTTTTCGTTATCAAATTATCGACTTTGACGAAAGTTACAATCCTTCCGATTTTCCCCTGAATATAATTTCTTTTTTCTTTTCTCGCCACATTAAAAATAAATGAGTGAAAATCCGTATCAATATTCAACGGTAAAAATCCAGAGAGAAAGACAAACAACAAAGCCGATGAACTGCCTTCGTCATCTTGGAGAAGTTTGAGTAAATGGAATGAAAAAAAAAAAAAAAAGCAGCAGCAGCAGAAAAAGAAGAAGGAGGAGGAGAGAGAGGAGGAGGAGAGAGAGGAGGGAAAGTTTTTGTTCTTTTGTTCAAAAACAGCCAAAATTTTGGTAAGGCGGGATGAACAGAAGAAAAGTCACAGAGAATAGAAAAAAAAAAAACTTTTTTCTCATTTTCTCCCAAATGTAAACAATTAATTCTACTATTTTATGTTTGCTTTTTAGTAGTATACAGATGGATGTCTGCTACTAATTATTTTCCTTAGAACCGAATTAATTATCTTTAAATAATCGATTTAACAGTAAACATTTGTTTAATAAATAAAAGGCAAAACTTAACATTAGAAATTTAAAAAAAAAAGTAATAAAAATCGATTATTTTTCTTGCATTAGTGTCGTGTGTACAATAACAAAAATTCAATTTTTCGTGTACGTAAATTTTTTAAACTCTGGACGCAAACGTTTTTGTATATATATATAAATAATTGTAACTGAAGATATTTAAAATAATCAAAGACAAATACTGAAATTTCTAAATTAAAAAAGTAAAGAAAAAATAACAGAAATTTTCATGTATTGAGCCTGTGTGTAGTGTACAATAACAAAAATCGTTCTATGCTTTTTGGAGTTAAAATTTAAGGTTCTAGTAAGCAGAACCTTCAGTTAACTATCGTTTGTGTGCAGAGTTTAAAAACTTACGTACACGAAAAATTGATTTTTTGTTATTGTACGATACTACTGCAAGAAAAATAGTCGAAAAGCTAAAATAAAAATAAATGCAATAAAATGCAGAAGCCAGCAAACACCAACCAAAAATATTAGTGTGGCACAAGGCTATGAATATAGAGCATACAATGAATTATAATTGTAAAGGATGTGCGGGATTATCTTGCTAACCACTACGCCACGGCAAGGCGCCTAAAAGAAGATTTAAGAATCATAAAGGAAATGTCTTCATCATCTGTGTGCCTGACAAGAGAGAGATGGAGAAGTGTGTTCGATGTGTATATTATTTAAATGGGGCCGAATGTCTAAAAAAGTTCTGTATAGAAGCCTGTTTAAACACTTGATAAATGAAGTAAGAAGCACGGATTTCCTTGTAAATGTTTTGTTTTGGTTACACTGAAAAAATGGATAGAGAAATGTTTGCATGCTGTACAGCAGCGTACATTCGTTTATTTATTTTTTTTATTCTCCGTACGGAGTAACTACTTCACATGTACGGACGCTTCTTTGTGTGTGTGTGTGTGTGTGTGCGCGTGTCTGCGTACACAGTCACACACACACTCTCATATATATATGTATGTATGTATGTTCGGGTGCCGCATATAGCTTTTTCTCTTTCCTACCGTAAAGGGAGTCTGGTTGGCTGATCATGTTGGTTTATGTATTTACTCTGTGTGTGTGTGTGTGTGTGTGTGTGTGAGAGAGAGAGAGAGAGAGAGAGAGAGGAGAGAGAGTGCTTGAGTGCGTGTTTTGCATTCGTATATAGTGGGCATGTACTCGTTTCGATTTCATACGAATTTCTGCCTGGTGTGTAGTGTATAGATGTGTGTAAGAGAGAGAGAGAGAGAGAGAAAGAGAGAGAGAGTGTGTGTGTGTGTGTGTGTGTGTGTGTGTGTGTGTGTGTGTGTGTGTGTGTGTGTGTGTGTGAGAGAGAGAGAGAGAGTGAAAGAGAGAATGTGAGAGCCTGCATTCGTTTGTTTTGATATGTGTGGAGGCCGACTGTAACGCATCTCGGGGAACAGAAATAAAGATGGAAAAGGAAGAAGTGAGGAGCATGTGATTAAGAGAGGGGAAAAAGATGAGAGAAATCGTGTCTAAGAAAGAAAGAAAGAAAGAAAGAAACAATAAAAGGGGAGGTATAAAATAAAAAAAAGAAAGAAAGCAAATGAAAGCGAGAAAAAAAGGCAGGAAAAGTAAAGAAAAAATCAAACTAAAACCAGTCGATGAAAAGGAAGGGAAAGAAAGAAAGAAAGAAGAAAGAGTTGGAAAGTAAATAAAGAAAGAAAGAAAGAAAGAAAGAGAGAGAAAGTGAAGAAGGAAAAAAAGACAGGGAAAATAAAGAAAGTAATAACGGAAGAAACAAACAAACAAAAAAAGGGAAGGTGTAAAATAAAAAAGTAAAGAAAGAAAGAAAGAAAGAAAGAAAGAAAGAAAGAAAGAAAGGAAGAAGTGTAAAGGAAGGATTAAGATTATTTCACCGAATTTGTGGATTTTTTTGTTTGTTTTTTGTTGGGCAAAAGCAAAAAAAAAAAAAAGTAGCTGTTAATCCATTCCACAATTTCCGTCTCCCTAACCCTCCTCATCCCACTTTGTCTCCCCTTGCAGTTCTTTGTTGCACCTCCTCTTTTATTTCCTTACATAACTGATAATTATGTCTAGTACATTCATGTACTGGCAAAGAAAATTATGAAGAAAAAAACCCCAAAAAACATGCTATTTTAAACCGAAACTCATGACTGAACTAGTTGCAAGTGCTCCACTTAGCCTGTACTCGTGCCCCGATATAAACCAGGCATCTCGAATGCCGATTTTCAAGGCGAGCATTGTATCTCCCTCTTGTGCGATTGGTGTAATTCAATCTTTCACTCAACTATTTTCCCCATCTGCCCTTGAGCGAGATTAACTTAAGGGGGAGTTAGATATCTAACATGGCAGATCAAAGAACTCGCCTCCTTTCCCGACTTTTACACCCACTCGTAAATCGTTTTTATTCTCTGTAAAAAAAAATTACATTTTCTCATCTCTAGGGAAACATCGTGCGACCCAGGGAATAAGTTAAGAATTAAAACACGTGGAGTGTTTGCGCGCCAGAAAACCAGAGAAATCGTCGACTAAAGGGAATAAACATTAAGAAAAGAAGCGAGAAAGTTTTGAAACTTGAAATGATAAGTAACATTAAAAAGACTCTGTAAGAGCAGCAATAACTCGATGTCGGTCAATTATGGCATAAACTTTTGAGTTAATTAAAAGCCTCATATTGTATTGTAATTTTCCATACTAGATCTTTCCTCTGCATGCAATTTGCTTTATGGCCAATTAGTTTTCTTAGGAGTAGATAGGTTCACCTATCGTTCGGTTCACACTCCTCCCAGGTGTTTTGAACAGGAGTAGAGGCATAGAAATTAAATCCTATATATTTTTTCAGCCAATAAAATCCCACCAGAAGGTGTGTCTGATAAACAATCAATACAAGGACGAACACCACCAAAATATTTGTGGGCGTAGACTTACCAACCGTTATTTTTGGACCATTTAGAAAATGACAATAATAACTCCTTTAGCCACTGCCGCGAATTCAAGAAAAATATTTTTGCGGGCCAGTGTGAAAATATTTTCTAACCAATGAAAACCTTGTATTCAAAAAGTCCACACCTCTTCTTTTAATTCCTTTACGAATATAAAAATAGAAGCATACTTCTTCTCGAGGCTCAAACCAATTTGGGAGGCCAGTTTGACCTACATGTGCGTGCACGCACCCCTGCCACGCACCCACACATACGCACACAATGGA